ATTCTTCATCATTTGCTGGAGTTAATGGGATGCACGAAAAGAAAACTTGTTTTCCAGCATGTTGTCCAACGATTATTTCTACTTGATTAATACCTTTCTTGAAATCACGATATATCCTTCTTATTCCATTGCAAAGATCGTTAGATAGGTCCAAATTCCTCAAGAGCATCACTAGACAATTTATTTTCAAAATTAACTAATTTGGCGGGATACCATTTGGCAACAATGTATTTAGAAATTTCCCTTGATGAAATTGATTTGTATTATCTATTCCTTTCTCAAACCTGACAAATTCTTCACTTTTTCCAAAAAAATAACCCAATTAGTTTGTCATCAAGGCAGTCAACATACTCGTTTTTTGTTGAAAGAATTCTACATTGTGTCATGTAATAAGAAGAATATGTATTTTTCATTAAACCCTTGAATACTGCATTGTAAATGTGACTTCGAAGTTTTAGCATCGTCACATGCTATAACTACTTCCTTTGGTAAGTTGATGAAGTCATCATCTATATAATGTTCTATTCCGTAACCAATTTTGATCAAATATCGTGCAAATCGATTGTCCATTATTATTTTTAATAAGTAAAATAAGGTTTTAAAAAAATTAACTATATAAATAATATTGTTCAAGTTAATTATATATGTAATATTATTATAATTTCTTTATAATTGTACGTAATAATGTTTTTTATTAATTGTGTACTAATGAGTAGTAATAATTGTGTTTAGTGGAAACTAATTGACTTAATTTTCGAAAGCAATAATAATTATTAATTATCTTATTTAGCGGAAATAAATTGAATCATTTGGGATTAATCCTAGTTAATATTTGATATTCCTTGGTGAATTGTATATAATTGTTTACTAATAATTAGTAATAATTGTATTTAGTGGAAATTAATTGACTCAATTTTTTAAAGCAATAATAATTATTAATTATCTTATTTAGAGGTAATAAATTGAATCATTTGATATTCCCTTTTTTTTATTTAAATTTATATGTAACTGTCAATTTAAACAACTTTTAAATACAGCATATTAGTGCAACATTTCAATGTTAGAGTAATGTTATTCATCCCCAGTGTGGATGAAAATACAGTTTACGTGGTTTTAAATGATAGGTTAAATGAAAGGTGAAATTAAATGACTTATCTAATTTCACATATCATTTAATGTCACAATGACGCAACGTAAACTGTGTTTTCATTTCCAGTGGGAATGAATAGCATTACTCTCAATTTTGTTATTATTATTTTTTCTTTTTATAAACCATTAGGGTATATTGGGCATATAGGTAAATAAAATTGAAAATATAGTCGTTATTGGGTCTCACTCGTCTAATAAAAGTCAACAATAACGGCTAGTTTTTCAATTTTAATCCAATTTTAATCTCCTACCAAACAAGCTCTCAATGTGCTTGGCTATGTGCCTGCACATATNAAGTGGTATTCAAAAGTTTCTCTCCAATCCCCACTTTTAGGCCCCGTTCGATAGGGATTAAAATTCAATTAAAATTGAAAATATGGCCGTTATTAGGTCCCACTCGTCTAGTAAAAGTCAACAATAACGGCCATTTTTTCAATTTTAATCTGATTTTAATCCCTACCGAACAGGTCCTTAATATATTGTAGATATCTTCTCAGAGAAGAAAGAGAAGAACCAATAAAATAGATACAAGAAATATTTACATGACTTAGCAAAGCTAAAATATAAAAAGTTACGAGAGGCTACGCTAGATCTCCAATTAAAGTTGTAAAAAAAGTAAATTAAACATATTCTGTTCAAAGATTGAGAATATAATGTAAGGGTTAAAGAAATTATACTCGATCTGTTTTAATCGTACAATAAATATAGTTCATGTCAAACTTTAAGTCATATTTAGATTCGTTGCTTTAGATAAATTTTATAAAGTGATTATTTACCACAATTTTGAAAAGTCGAAAATTTGAAAAATCTACAACTTCATTCCAATCTCCATGAACATAATCCAATGTCTCTAGCAAACAACCCTTGTTTGACTGTAAAATGTGGGGGCCTTCGCTCTCAAATCACTTGCACCCACCACTTTCAGTGCGTATGGTAGAAATTTCTCTATTATTTCAATTAGTGTTGGATTGACAAACTGTGTGAATCCAAATTCATAAATCAATTTATATGTTAGATAAATCGAGAATTCTCAATAAATCTAGCTTATAAGACGTGACTGCAATTTATAAATTCCAACTTATATGCAACTTATTTTTAACCAAACATGCCTTGAAATCGAACTAAAGCTATACTGTACCTGCCCTAGGCTAGTTGTATAGGTCTTTGCTGCACCTAAACTGGAAAAAGAGATCATATTCAAGATTCACTGTTTACTTGTCAGTATCCAAATCCTCATCTCTCTCTCTCTATAAAAAAATTAAATATTAATATATATTATTTTTAATTATATTTATATATACAACCAAGAAATGACCATTTCAGCAATATGTTTCCTCATTACCAAGAAACACGCTCTTCCAGCACCTTAACAAGCCACCACAACCAACATCAACCGAGAATGGCAAATGAAGAAGCCGACAGCCAAAGCCACTCAACTCCCTTCAGCACCAAAAATTACCCTTCCATCTCCACCAACGACGGCGCTAGTATCGAAGTAGTCCGCCGTCCGCGAGGTCGCCCACCTGGCTCCAAAAACAAACCCAAGTCGCCGGTTATCATCACACAAGACTCCGAGCCATCTATGAGCCCTTACGTTCTCGAAATTTCCGAAAACACTGACATCGTCGAAGCCATTACTCGGTTTTGCCGAAAGCGGAATATGGGGCTCTGTATACTTCACGGAAATGGGGTTGTTGCAAATGTTACTCTCAAACAGCCGTCGTCAACTCCCGGTGCCGTCGTTACATTTCATGGGCATTTCAACATTTTATCGATTTCCGCTACTGTTTTACAGGGAAATATCCCGGTGACGGACGACGGTTTCAAAATATCTCTGGCAGGGCCGCAGGGCCAGGTTGTAGGCGGACTCGTGGTGGGGCCGTTGCTCTCCGCTGGAACTATTTATCTGATCGCCTCCACTTTTAATAGTCCATCTTTTCAGAGGTTGCCGCTTGAAGATGACCCCCGACACTCCGGTGAGGAGCGGCGGCAGGAGCTTTCTGGGTTAGGAGATGTCCCTACGCCGCCTGGGGCTGCCGACTCTCGTAGAATCCCCTCTTACAGTTATCAATCTTCTGACGTGATCTGGGCCCCCGCCGCTAGACCGCCGCCTTACTGATTTATGTCTTCATTCGGTTGGTGTTTATCTGATTCAGAAAATTTGTTAGCTTTTTTTCAATTAGTGTAACTCAGTCAAGTTTTAAATGATTAACGAACTGTGAAGTATCAAACTTATTGATTGGTTTTAGAATTATTCTTCAAACTTTCTTGAATGCATATAGTAGCTTATTTAGAAAGAGATTTTTCTAATAAAAGAAAAAAAAGAAGCTTATTTTAGAAAGTTAATTTAATATTAAAAACATTATTAATTTGTCGTGGACACAAATGATGTATATTAGATTTTTAATGAAAATATCACTAGTAAATGAGGGAATGATTTAGGTAACCAAACGTAAGAGGTCGGCTCGGTGATCGAGGGCTTGGCCGTCACTTCTTCATTTCTCTGCTTTTTTGAGACCCGAGTGAAGGCATTTACATCGAACGGATTCACGGCTCAGTGATCGAGGGCTTGGCCGTCACTTCTTCATTTATATCGAACGGATTCTCAATAAACAATCATCGATTGAGAAACATAAAGTTAAAAAAAGAAAAAAGAGGCTTACTTTTGACGAAGTCGGGCAAGATTTAGAAAAGTTTTTAGAGAAAATTAGGTTAAAAATTGGTTAGGTGGGACTTCTGCATCCTGTAGAATATGCTTCTAGAAGAAACTATTACTAAAGTTTGAAGGTGGGGGGTGTGTGTGGATAGGGTTTGAAGTTGCATGTGAGTGCTTTGGTGTGCAGCAATGGCAACAGTCTGGCTCTGGTAAGAGTAAATTCAGTGGGTATTTGAACTTTGTTATACATTACTATTTGTTTATCGAAATTTTAAAAAATTAATCTTTGTTCACTGAACTTTGTTATAGATTATTGTTTGGTCCCAAAAATTTAAAAATTTACTTGTTGATCACTTGAATTTAAACAAAGTTATCAATCAGTCATTCATATCATTTTCATTATTGTTAATTATAGCAAAGTTCAGTGAGCAACGAGTAACTTTGTTTAAATTTTGGTGTGTAACGAAAAACTTTTAAAAATTCGATGAGCAAGTAGTAATTTATAATTACAAAATTTAGTGACAGTTGATTAAATTCTCTCCTCTGGTAATGGTATGATTCTGGTGGGAAAAAAAGCAGTGTGGTCCATTTGGATATGGATATCTCTATCTTATCCTTAACTTAGCGGTTCTTGTACTTGCCTACTTGGGGATAAAGCCTGTCCCTCATATTTGCAGTAGATTTCTACTTTACTTTTAATTTTTCAGTTACTTTTCTGCAATATGTAGAGATGTAAAACGGTCTAAGATCCGTGATGCTTCGGTTAAACCATTCGGGTTGGAATTTTGTTTATTCCCCGTCCCGCCCCTAGAGTATTGTGGAGGTGGTAAATCACGAGATGTGCTTCATCAGGTAAGGTTACAAGAGCTGTCATATTAGTGTCCACAAAAAGTCCAATTTCATACCTTGTAAGAGATATGAATCGAACGGCTGCCAACTCACTACCTCATTTCTGTCCTTTACATCACTGAGCTATGCTCAGGGTGACCGGAGTTTTCTTTATTCTTTGCCTGTATAGACGATGATGACTATTTTTTCATGGTAAGCCCTTATTTGAGACACATTAAAATTTTCATTTTCATTTTCATTTTCAACAAAATATTCTTTAATAAAATAATATTTTTCATCACATCAATAATTTTTTTTTTTTTAACAACACATTCTCCATCAATCTATTATTTCAAAATATATTTTTCCAAAATAATGTAACTCAAACACATCCATCGCGAATCTGTCGAACTTATCGACTACTTGTGATGGAGTAAAATAATGTTATGTAGACTATCTTTGTCAAAATTAAGTATTCAATTCAAAGGTAGGGTCCGTGGCCGACTTTCACGACCTTACTTACAAGAACATATATGGAATAATGTGAAAATTAGTGGGGCTTGGAATGTGATAACAACTTGCTTTAAAAAGAAAAAAACGAGGACTTTGTACAAGTACAACTTTCCATTTATGAAAAATTTGGATATTTCCTCGTTTTGAAAATTACATGTTCAATTTTAATTTAATAAATGAAAAATAAATTATTTGTTTAAAGAAAGTTATTTTTTAAAATCTTTTTGTAAGTAGTGATTTCAGTTTTACTATCATATTTTGTGAAAAATAAATTTTATTTAAAAAAAAAAGCGAATATGGTCTTCAATATTTACTATAAAAAGAAATTGAAAGGAAAATTAATCTTTAACTAATAAACATTTGATGCCAACTTTATTGTTATTTAGTGTCACGATGATAGTATTTTATTTTTTATAGTATGTGACAAGGTCAAATCTGATCATGTCAAAACTCTCCTAGTCACGCATGCTTAATTTACCTCACTCAAGTATAGCATCCCGACCTTGGATATCGACCAATCCAATGGTGTTGATATCGTGGTCTTATATCTCAACCTTAAAATATGCTTATAAATATATTGAATTCATAGCCTTGAACACAATTCTTTCCAGATTTATTGACTTATTAAGCATTGGAAGAACGACGAGGTAGTACCTCAACGACTTTGTCTCAAGTGCTAGGAAGCTCATTTCGTGATCTAAGCTTTGATCATTCTCAGCTTCGAGCACAAGCAGTCGTGCAATTTTTTGTACCATCAGCGTGAATGTCAAAGAGTAAAAAATAGAAACTTCAGAAAATGCTGCCAAAACTCAAAATAGTTGTTTCTTCACGATGAGTTTTTAATGATTTCAAATGAATTAACGGTTCTTGAATTGGCACTGACAGAAGGTTTTATAAACGTTGCAGAGCAAAGGAGAAATGTTAAAGAGAGAGACTAAAGGGGTAAACCAGGATGTGTTGGACCAGGGCACAGGCCCGATACGGCCCATAAACTTTTCCAGGCTAGACCTAGTCGGGCGGGCAGGCAGGCGGGCGGGCCCAAATTTGCTAGCAAAACTACCACTCCTTTATGTAAGCATCATAAATTAAAAGCAATTTAAAGGAGACTAAATTCATGATAGACCTACAATTTTTAAAAGGACCAGCTTTCATCATCTCAGCTTAAATTTTACTTCAGCAAGTGTAGATAAATATGTTTGAAGGCATGTTTGGTATACAGTATTGGACACACATGACTACCAGTACAACACAAAAGATTTCTCGCTTTTCTTTCTTTCTTAAATACTGTCCAATACTGTACAAAACCATCTTATCAAACAAGCCACAAAGGTAAAGTTGAGCTAGACACTGTTTATCAGCAGCCTCCCTATAGAACACATCAGTGCTTACCCCACACTTTAACCTTCAGCTGCAAAATTACCAACAATCTATACATGATGAAAATCGAAGATGGCATGACGATGTACATCTTCCAGTGGTCGACCCACTTATCAGGTGGGACTATACCGAAGGTGTTTCTCATAGAAGTTTATTAACTGCATAATAAAGGAAAACAATTTAATGATATCAATCAAATTGAAGACTGTATATCACAAAAGCTGATAACCAAGAATCAAGAGATTGGAGGACTCACAAGTATAGGATTGTTGGCCTTCAAGAATTTGTTATCCACCATCACTTTAGTTCCATCAGACCTGTAGGCAGCCATGTTACTGAAGCTACTGACCCAGAAAAAGGATTTTTGTAAAGCATAAACAGATTGATAATCGAAATAAAGTGCATAAGACCATTTAAGAAAACCGAAAAGAAAAGGAACATGTTACAAAATATAAAAGGATAGAAAAAGGTAAAAGGTTATCAAAACTTCAAAGAGGAGAATGAACCAAGTAGCTAATTCCAATATTCACCACCGTATTATCAAAGGAACTGATTAATTCCCAATGAGCCAGATTAAAGAAAAGAGCACAATAACTTTCTGAGGCGTTTTACATGTTATATGCATAACCATCAACATGTGTATTAGACGGAAAATTTTTGGGTGGTTTCTTGCGGTAAATTATAAGTCCTGTCACATTGGTTCATAAAATGTGGACAATAAGTACAAAAGCCTGACATAAATCCAAGGGAAAGGTAGGGGTGGCAAACACTAAAAAAAGAATGGTAGCTCAAGCACTCTAGTCTCTATCAGTAGATTAAAGCGTATTATATGAACCACAGCAATGGTTGTCCTTGACAACCAGTTTTGCCAGGTGAAAACCTTGACCATAAATATTCACCAAGCTCCAACAAGACCTCTATTTCAGTACTTGACTATCAATTGCAAGTTCCCTCATCATTTGTCAAAATATTACAATTCACAAGAAAAATAACAAATTAAGCCTTTTCCGGAGAATATTAGTAAACTTAAATTATTCTCAAGGCTTAAATAATTAACAGAGGAATTAAGGAGTACCAAGTTTTCAACATATTCAGCACAGTAAAGTAATAGCATGTTTGGTAACAGATTTAAATTTCAACTTGTTACCAATATAGAGGTTATGAGATAGTGAGGAAACTAGCCAACACTAGAACCCACCCATTTACTGCAAGAAGTGATTTTAAGGTTTAAGCCATTACCATAGTTAAATTCCATAATTTCTATTTAAACAAACAATTCATTACTACCAGAACTCTAAATGCTTATGACAATATACATCTACCTGTTGAGATTTTTCCATGAACATGGACACACAGTGACACACAAAAGTTCAGATATCAATGTTAAGGTTTTGAATATACACACTAGATATGTAACAAATTAGTAAAAAAAGTTTTTACCTTTTCTAACCCCCTACCATCCCCCACCCCCCCAAAAAAGAGAGGCACACATAGTAGTAAATAGAAGTACCTATTTAAGGTTTTGAATATACACACTAGATATATAACAAATTAGTAAAAAAAGTTTTTACCTTTTCTAACCCCCTACCATCCCCCACCCCCCCAAAAAAGAGAGGCACACATAGTAGTAAATAGAAGTACCTATTTAAGGTTTTGAATATACACACTAGATATATAACAAATTAGTAAAAAAAGTTTTTACCTTTTCTAACCCCCTACCATCCCCCACCCCCCCAAAAAAGAGAGGCACACATAGTAGTAAATAGAAGTACCTATCATAATCTCTGAGCATATAAAATACCAATATATATAATCTGTCTATGATGCACCGATACGGACACGTGTGTCCGACACACGATTTTTAAAAAAAGTATAGACACGACACGTCATCGACACGTCAATTAAATTTTAAAAATCTTCATTTATATAGTAAAAATTTAGTTTTATACTTGTTATTAATTTTTCTTGTTGAAATCTTTTAAACATGAGTAAATATTTGTTACTTGCTAATAATTTTGAATTAACAATATATAATATTTGTAATATAAAAAGAAAAATGATTACGATAGANATATAAAAAGAAAAATGATTATGGTAGAGTGTCCGAGAAGTGTCGGTATCGACTCGTGTCCGACACGGACATGTTACCCTAATTGAAGTGTTTGTGCTACATAGTAATTTGTTCATCAAAACATCTAAAAATTTGTATCGTTGAATTCAAAACACCTAAATCGCCATAGAGATACAGATGTTATTTTACCTATAATGTTCTATGATATAAATCTGAGCGAAAAGCTCAACCTGGATAAACAATCACCACACCAAGGAATTCTATCACCGTCTCAAGTGCACGCACTCAAACATGCATTTATCCAATTTTGTCAATTTCATTCTCAATATTCAATAACTTTCCATGCAAACATGTCATCAGATTCATCACTGGAAAGACATTTCAAAATATTTTCTCTCACATTCTAATCACTTTACGTGACGGAAAAACCAAAATCCCTCTTCATAATATTTTATGCCATATTATAACTTTTGCAACAATTTAAGATTTTGTAGCAGTAAGAGGAGATACAGAAAAAAGAAATCTCTAACTTTTATATTGTTTTAAAAAAATGAGAGAATATTATTCACATAGAAGAGACTATTCTCCAATTAAAGAACAATCAAAAGAATACACAACTTGTTATGCTAAATCAGCTACCCTGAGGAATCTCTCACAGTCCACGTTGCATCATGCATGCAGTTAAATTAAGCAAAATGGAGAAAATTCAGTTCAGGAACCAAGAGAGAGAAGGAAATGTGTGCTCCCTCTCACTCTCGAGCATCTGGCAGGGCCTACTATCGATTTTGAGTGCCACCAATGAGCTTTGAATAGGATCAAACATGACAGCGCTTTCTCTTGTGTGGTTTCCCTCTTTACTAAGTCATTTCTATGGCATTAAGAGCAATCTCTTTAATTGCTTTGAACCTTTGATGTTCCAATCAACTTTCCCAAAGCCTATAAGCATATATCTACACATACCTTTTTAACATTGGTAAGCGTACCTATAATGTTGTCCCATCAAATCTATATTCAAGGATTTATTTAACATCAAATGAATTTTTTCAACTTCCCAGAAGAATTTAAGGTCAGTAACCACTCTATCCTCACATTGCAACATGGTAAATCCAAATTCGAGCATTCACTATCAAAGGTAGCCCGACCCATTGCATCATATGATAAAGGCACCAACAGGCTCGACTTTGGTTTGCCAACTTATACAACTTTTGAGCCTGTGAATATATGCCAGCCTTGGCGGATTTATATTGATACACAAAAGGAAAACGACAACAAGAATGGTCATTAGACAATGTAAAGTCTGAATGACAGCACTGGTATATTGGATCTTGTACTACTAGCGAAATACATAATTCCAAGCTATAAAACACACACTCCTACTGCGGTAGTTTGTCAGTGTCCAATACACCACATGGTGCGTCCCTTTTTTTTAACAAAATTCTGATACTCAAGGAACACCCCCCAAACAAGCCTGGACACGTGTTTGTCGAGTCATGTTACCTGTTCCGATTTTTCACATTATTTATAGTTTTTAACTCATAAGGAACATGTCAGCGACACATTA